AATTATAAACAATTCATTTTGGCAAGCTTTGTAAAATATCATACTACTTTTTTTCTTTTTCCAGCAAAAAATATTACATTTTTTTTTGAATTCATTGAAATTGATAAGGAAGTTATGACTTTTTAGAAATGAAACAACTTAACTTTTCATTAACTTTAGGACAAAAAAAAAAAAACTTCGGCAATTAATAACTTTGACGTCAAACCTTGAAAAAAATTATTTATTAGCTTTCGAAGTCTTTCTATTAAATGGTTTTTGATTTAAAATTGCAAATATCTCTATTCAATCATATGATAAATTTGATAGTTAAAGCGTTTTCAATTAAAAAGCTTTTATTTGCACTGAAATATTTGATATGGATTTGACAATTTTTAAAAAGTTCACAGTTTAATTTTTACTATCAAATTTGATATTACAATGAATGAATGGCAATAACCAATTGTTGAAAGGATCTAACTGTCATACATCAATCAAAACGAAACATCATCATGTCGGAGATTACACTTATGCAGCTGTAAGGATTATATCATTATCATTAACTTACTGAATATCACTTTCAGGATACAATCCAAAATGTTAAAATTACTATTAATATGATAGGATCAAGCATTCATCAACATGAACTCTTCTTCCCCTTCACAGTAACATATCATACCATCGGTTCATTATTTTACAAATAAATTTTTATTCATTATTTTATAAATAAATAAATAGGTAATTGTTATACCTCTTCCTGAATTCCACCTATTTATACCTTATCAATATGATATTCATACTTTTATCTTGCCTGACTTGTTTTTAATAAATTACCATGAAACTATAAATTTATATTCCCACTACCATTTTTCCTTCCATTTTCCATTCACAAATGATATTTTTTCTCAATAAGTTTATGTTTTCCGAAAAAAAATTTTTTGTTTGAAAAAATTTTTTCTTTCGATAGTATCATTTTTTCGTAGTTTGACAAAAATTTTTCAATAAAATTCAATTACTAATATTATTGATGTGAAATTTGCAAATGTATAGCCGAAATTAAAATATTTGTATAAAAGAACGTTGAACTTTTATAAAACTACCGAAATTTTCAGTTTATTGACAAATTGTTTAAGTACGTTAGCGACGTGATTAACATCTTGAACATTTGATATCCCTTCAACAGAAACGCCAAATAATTCTGACATTTGCTTAATTGACTCCAAGGATTTGATGGCTCGTTCCAAATTTTCAAGACACTTAACTGATTTTAGTATTTTAATCATGAATTTCAACAGTTTAAATATCCA